ACATTTTAACAAGGAACAAGAAGAGAGAGAGATAGCGGAGCGATTCATTCCCTTAGGGACTGTGGAGGGGTAAGAACTACAGCAGACAGGCAGAGAAAGAGACAGCATCCCTGAGGCAGCAGTATGGTTAGGAAGAAGCAGTTCAGAACCTCTTTTGCTCTGTGCCCTCGAGTCAAAGGTGTTGGTCACTCATGACTTGTAATAGTGAGACCTGGTTACAGAGTCTGTTTGTCCTGAAGGGATGTAATTTCAACACAGGGCAAAATTTGTATTCTTGTATCATTTGGGTGATCTCAGGAGAAGGGTAACACACTATAGATGCCTTAAAAGAACACAAGGCATGGACCAACTGAAGATATACTTGCCACATCATCGATCTCTTTTTTAAATAGGGACACTACAGCACTTTCTGTAGCTGTCTAGCACAGAAACATGCCTTCCAGGTTTAATGAATCACCTTCTGTCTTTTTCAACACTGCTTATCACTTCCTGAGGTCAAAAATAAGATGTGGATGATAACTACAAGGAGACATCATTCAAGGGTTGAGTGTTGTTTTCCATTCTCTTTCAGATCAATGAGTTAAGCAACGTTCCTGTCCCTGTGATGCTAATGCCAGATGACTTTAAAGCCTACAGTAAGATTAAGGTGGACAATCATCTGTTCAACAAGTAAGTCAGTGCAGTTTCACCTCTTGCTTATGCATTTTGTCTGTTTTTGTAAAAAAAAAAAAAAAAGCCTTTTGCTCTAGGTCAGGTTTTGCAGATGGGGACCCAGTAAGCTCCTTCACATGCACAGAGCATCCCTCATGATTAGATAAATGCCTATGTAAGGGAGATGCCCAGACTGCTAAGCAAGAAAACAGGTATTTTGTCCATCAGTGCCATACTGTCCTGGGGTCTTGTTCTGCCATTGAAGCATGGCAACACCAGAGGTGAAATTAGTGCTGTCTTAGAGCAAAGTTGTATCAATGAGTGTAGATGTATATATTCATTACAACTATATCCAGTCGTGTTTTAGTGCTTATGAAGGGCCATCAATCTAGCTTCTTGAGACCAAAGTTGTGTATTGATTCTGATTGAGTACACCAATAGCAACGACAATACATCATGCTCCCACTTGTAATACCACCCTACCAGCTAGCCTCAAAGCTGCCCTTGGGAAACCAAATCTAGGGATGTTTGGATGTTGGTGGCAAGGGAAGGTCATTTTTCCGTGGTCCATTTGGTTCTTTGCTGAGACTGGTGATGGAGGTAGAGGCTTTGTAGCCTATGCCCTTCTTTTTTAGGAACTGGGCTGAGGATATTAGGTTTGGAAGCCCTTTGAATCAATATTTGCTATTGATGTGGGGAGTAGTGGTCTGTTGCCTGGCTGTCTATAACCTAGACTTACAGGGTTGGATAGGATCTGAAGCATCATCTAGGCCAGCCCTGTGCATAATGTGATGTTTTTAAACCATGCCAGAGAGAGGCTGATCCAGCCTCTTCTTGAAAACCTCCAGCAAAGGATGTTTCATAATGCAGTACTGGTCTATACTGCTTGTGCATTACATGCACGTTTTCTTTAGGTAAGAGTTCTCACCTCATCTCTGTGATCTACCTTTGAGGGTAGAAGTGTTACACCAAGGTTCATCTCTCCTACACAGCTACTGCTGTTTTCCTCCCTTCCCCATGTATTCTTCCATTTTTCATTGCAGCCTTTCACTGCAGAGGCTTTTCTTGTTCTGTGTGTGTCTAGCATGCCAAAAAGCAAAGCTAAAAGGCTCCAGCTGTGTCCAGAAAGGACCATCTCTCCTGCTTCTTCCTCAGTGAGGAAGTCACTCTGGGGTAGAGTAAATTTGGTGGCTTTAATTGCAAGAGAAGACTTTAAAAGGGCATCTCATGTTTATGCCATAAGAGTAGGGGGGCCAACCTTGCTTTGGCAGGCATGTCATAGATTAAACCCCATGTCCTCCCCAAGTTCCATTCCAATCCCCCTCCCTTGCCTGATCTACAGCTCCTCATATTGTGTCTTTGGCCTGTGCTCCTTTCTGATCTGCTGCTCTGCTTCCTGATGTGTCTGCCACTATACTTCCTGCCCCCTCCCCAGTTGGCTGTACAGTAAAATTAAGGCCAATACACAGGCGTCCCATGCCACTTGTGTGTACAAGTTGGCACCCCTCTAAAAGGAGAGAGGCTGCAGCTGATTCATCTGCGTGCCGCTTGACATTTCATTCCAAGTCTGGAAGGTCTAATCCAGGGCTGTCCAACTTCTTAGTGACCAGGAGCTGCACCAGCAGCCACGTCCACCTCTTTCCAACCCACTGCCTCACCTGAAAAGCTCCCTTGCCCCTGTGGGTGGGCAGCATGCCTCCACCATTTATTTCACTGGGCTGGCTGGTGTTCTTGCTTGAATGCACCTCAAGAACATGGAATGCAAATCCCATGTGGGCAATGTGTTTGAAAATGCCATGACATAGTTGAAGTGGCCTCTGAATTTTTGTGCAAGGCTCTTCAGTCATTGCATAGGCTGTTCATGTGTGTATTTAGCAGGATTGGATATGTTAGACAATCGTGTGGGCACAGGTGACCTACCTTCAGCTAGGTAGCTGGCCTAATAAAAGATATAGCCTATATTTATTTAGGCTATTTTAATCATTGATCCCAAAAAAGCACATTGCTGTAAATCTACACAGTGCCTTACAAACAGCTAATAGGGCATGCTGCCTACTCCAAAGAGCTTGCAAGCCAAATGCTTGATCTTACAAATGTTCAAATGCATGGGGGCTGTCATGTAGTAAAAGTGAGCACATAAGCGTTAGCAGGATTGGGCTGCTGGGCAGCACGCCACGATGATTCAGGAAAGCATGAAGCACAAGGTTGGAGGGGAATGGGGAAAGGATTAGGGCTGAGTTGATTCTAGGGCTCATGGTGATGCAGGGAGGGCTTAGAGCTGAGAACTAGCATGTGAAGCATTGTTGGTTCCACAGATATGACTCTGCTTCTTTGTTCTAGGGAAAACCTGCCAAGCCGCTTCAAATTTAAGGAGTACTGCCCACTGGTGTTCCGGAATCTCCGGGAAAGATTTGGGATTGATGATCAAGATTACCAGGTAACCTCAAAATGAAGAGATTTTCAGATATCTTAAATTGTTCCATGATGTTTATGTTAACTCTCCTACATGTGTGACCCTATGGTCTAAGTACTCCAGTCATAATCAGGTCCCCTGCCAGGTGCTATACAAACCCAAATCAAAGAGCAGTTTCCTGCCCCAGAGAGATTACAATCTCAGCATATAACCCAAGAGATGTGAGGTGGCTGCAGATACACAAGAGCACAAGGAAACAATGAGCTGGTGTTGAATGTGCGCCATGGGAATGAGGCAGGGCATGTTTGCGAATTCCAGGTGCCTCTTCTACAAAGTGCTATGTGCCATGTGATGATTTTTGTATTAGGGTTTTATCGAGGTGTTTTCTGTCTGTGGTGTCCCTGGCATGGCAGTTGTGACCATTTCCAATCTGGCTCAGTTCTTGGGGTCAGAAAGGGGGAAAGGCACGTGCCAATGGGTTGGCAGTCCCTGGCTAAAATCTGGTAGACAGAGAAGTTGCAGCTCCTTGAGATAGCACAAAGGCTTCCCTCTTGTTTATGACTCTTATTCCAAAAGAGGCTGAAGATATCTAACAGCAGAGGAGATAAGAGACCACTTAAATTAGATAAAACCAATTGAAAAGCAGGGAAGGCTTTGATAGCAGCATGACCTTTAGCAGGATGAGTGTTGGGTAATTAAACCAGCATACATTTGCAGCCCCAGTGTGGTAGATAACAGCTGGCATTGTGCCAGCTGTGCCCTGCTGTGTAGACCTAGTGAAATATTCATTTAGAGCCTGCCAGCTGGCAAGACCAGCATGTTAGCCCTGGCAAGATGCACTGATTGAGCCTGGTATCGATCAATTTTTCTCAGGTAAATGATCCCCTTGTGAGAATTCCTCTCTTCCTCTTCCTCCTTCCCCCTCCACCCCCCAAAAAAAATGTTTCAACCAGTAGGTGGTTTTCTCCCTGCCCCACAGATGTAGTTATTCAGAGCCATTATGGAAGGTGAGAAGGAAGGGGAAAGGGCCTGCTCCTTCCTACACCATCTCATCCCGGCAAGCCTGTCTGTTTAGAGAGATCACCACAATTGCTTTTAATTATTTTTAGGGTGTTGTTGTGCTACAGGGAGTATTTGCCGATACCTAGAACTCCTCTTCTCTGACCAGCATTGCAAGGAGCAGAGTATTGAATGGGCCATGGAAATGTAACTACCTTAAGACCAGACCTTTCCAGGTTTGGGTTGAGGTGGGAACCATAAAGAAGCTAGTGCTGCCTCTGCAGTAGTTGTCAATCCAGCAGCTTTCTTTAGTATTGCATTTATTCTCCATTAGTTGGTTTTTCCTAGTTATAAGAGTATTAGCTGATCATTTCTTGAGCAGATTGGCATCAAGCCTAGAAATCTCATTGGGAGCCTATGAAAAAGGAGGTGGAAGGGCTACAGTCAGGAGAGCCGGTGCTCTATTCACTGTTGTGCCACCAATGTGCTCTGAGGCTTTAGGCTAGTCACCTAAGCTCTCAGCCTCAGTTTCTCCACCCAGAAAAGCAGGTATGTAAAGTGAGATCCTTAGTTGAAAAGGGGCTGCCCCAGCACAACGTCTGTCTTTTAGGAGCATGACAAAATCAGCAGGCTGCTTTCTAGATCTGTCTCTATTTCTCCCCCTATTCCCTTTCGCCACCTTGTAAGAGTCCCTTCTAGTCTCCTGAAGACTAGTGCCTTCAGACTGAGTTCACACAGGATGTTTTCAGAGCAAAGCTTTATTCCCAGAGCTGAACAACAGGGTTTGTTTGTTTTTTTTCTTTTCTTCATTGCTTATTTTTTTGTAATAGGCTGATCCTCACAATGAGAAATCAATCATAGCATTTCAGACCTCTCACCCTTGTGCCAACCCACCTGTTACTGTGCAGGGTAGAGCAGAAGTGACTGTAAAGAGATTGTGTTTGCACCTGCTGAGCATTTCACAACTGCAGTTGAATGATTCACTGCACACAGGAAAATCTTAGCTGGAAGTCATTTGGGATGGGAAAACTCTTTTCCACTTCTGGGTACTGAAGTCCAGAAATGTCTGTAGTATGTGCTCTGTAAAGTGTTCAGCTCTAGGGGAAAAGAAGTGTCTAACTTAGGTAATAGAGCACTGGACTGAGACTTGAGAGAAAAGGGTTCTATTCTTGGCTCCTCCTTGGGCCCTGGGTGATATGGGAGAAATGAGTTCATCTTCCCATGCCTTGGTTTCCCCATCTGCAAAATGGGGATTGATGGTGCTGACCCACTGTGTAAAATGCACTGATATCTGGTGATAAAGTGTGGGAGAGGAGCCAGAGATGGTCATCTGTTAAGTTGGGTTCAGTCATTAGCAAAGACATTTTTTGACCAAGGCACTGTTGGATATTTTTCATAATTTTGGAGCACCACTCTCCTCTTACTAAACTCTTGCCTGTGCACTGGTTTGGGAAGCGGGACACTGGAGTTTAACAGAGTTGGAGAAGACAGGACTCCTATGTGCTCTGCCCCAGATTCAGTGCAGACTTGTGGGAACAGGAATTCAGACAATATCATAGTTTTCACATCTTATAAAAGAGCATGGACACTCCCTGCACCTCACCCAGTGAAGTCACTAATGCTTTTGTGAGGAACTTGGAAACTATCTGGTAAAAGGCAGCAGAATTTAAAAAGCAAACATCAAACATTTGACTACTGGTATTGATTAAAAGAATGCAGAAATGAGTTGGATGGTGGCTACAGATGGTGCCCCTTTTGTGCAGGAAGTATTTAATGCAGTGATCCTCAACCAGAGTGCCTTGAGATCCTTTTAAAGATGACATGCAGCATTAGCACTGTTAGATGTGCAAACATGATTCACAAGATAGACCAAAGATTTCCCATAGGAATGTATAATACCAAAACTGTTCTGACCTGCAGTGGGCTTTCTGGGTTTTTTGCAACAGAAGAATTGCTCTATTATTTATTTGTAGTCAAAAAACAAGTGAAAACGATGAGCTTGTATTTTTTGAGAGGGGCCTTGAGTCTAAAAAGGTTGAGAATCACTAGTTTTATGCTTAGCATAAGTGCATGTCCTATGCTGGACACAGCGGCATGGCATAGGCTGTGCGCTTCTAATAGACCCAATGTCTGTGGGCTGTGCCCTTTGGGTCTGTCCCTGGTATCACTGTGAAGGTGTGAGTAGTTGTAACATACAGCCTGGGGGAAGCTGTCAGGACCTGTAGTACGATATATTTGATACCTGTGCTCTTTGGAGTCTGGAGAAATCCCAGGAGAGCCGATTCACATAGCCCATGTGAGCCAAATGAACGAGTGCCTGTCTTCCAGAAACACGGAGGCCCTCCTGGTGGTGTGGAAGAGCCTGGCTGTAGCCTGCCAACCCTTCCTATTTTTCCTCTAGCTGTCAACTGTATTTTATGCACAGTGATTACTTTGTACTGACAGCGGAAGTGCTGCTGCTGCCTGGTCTGTTGGCTTGATTTCATGCCAGGCTTTATCCCAGTCTTGAGGTGGAAGCTTGGACTAGCCCATCCTGGCCATAGATGATCTAGTTGCGGGTGTCTTTAAGAAATAACTGTGTTGGTTTCACACGCTTGAACTTGCCTCTCACACCTGTTCCTGTGAAAGTAGTTAAGCTTCTTTCTCTGCTTTTATCATTTTTGTCCTCTGGCTAATGTGCCGTGATATGTTTTTTTTTCCTGAGGAGCAGCTTTTGAATAATACAAAACTTACCTGGAAACATTCATTATCTTGTAATTTCTTTCTTGCCTGATCTGTCATTTATGCGGTGCCTGTCACTGCAGAGAGAACACTTCTCCCACCTCCAGGGTGGAACATGTTAGCTCTTTAAGAGCATGTTGTTCCAGTGTTTAAGACAGGAAGTGAAGCATGCTGTATTCAGATAAAATTCCAGCTTAAGCTTAGGTAGGCAGGGTGTAATTAGTTCATAGAATGATAAAAAAGAAAGGCTGGAAGGAACCTCTGGATGTTATCTAGTCCACCCCCCTGCCTGAGGCAGGATCATCCCTTTCCAAACTATCCCATACAAATCCTTATTTAACCTATTACTAAAAATATACAAATCAACCCTGTTGCACAATTACAAGACATAGCAGCCTAAACTGCCACAGGTAAAGAAGGCAGGGCTGGAGCAGTCAGTGTCCAGCTGCTGCAAGGGTTTTTAAAATATTCTCAAGATCCAAGGAAGAGGGCCATGCCCCCTTCTATAGAAGAAAGCAAAAGCCCCCACAGTCCCTACCAATCTGCCCATGGGGTAAAATTCCTTTTGGACCCCAGATGTGATGATCGGACAGACCCTGAGCGAATGGGCGAGACCCGTCCAGCCAGGAACCTCTGGGTTTTAGTCCCAGCAGGAGCTTTGGCACACCCCATCACGGTCCCCAGACTTGGCTGCAGCCAACACCCAATAATTCAGAGGAAAGCAAAAAAACCCAATCCCCGATGCATGCAGCAACAGGAGGGAGAAAAATGCCTTCCCAGCTCCACATGGCAACCAGCAAAGCTCAGAAATGTAGGAAATACCCATAGCATAGTATAGATATAGCTACCCCAAATCATCCCTGACCAATGCTTGTCCATCCTCTTCTTGAACACTTCCAGGTATGGAGACCCACAACATCCCTAGCCAGCCTGTTCCACTGCCTCACTGTTCTAGCAGTGAAGACATTTTTCCTGATATCCAGTCTAAACCTGCTGTCTTGGTGCTGCCTTGAGCCAGCTTCTGTGATCTGCCCTCTATGGCAAACGAGAAAAGATGTTCTCCCTCTTCTATATGGCAGCCCTTCAGATATTTGTAAGCTACTATCACACCCCTTTTTAATTGCTTTTGCTGCAAACCGAACATGCCTATTTCCTTTAACCTCTCCTCATGGTTTGCTTTTAAAGATCTTTATCATTATTGTCGCCTGCTTCTGGATGGGAATTTAGCCAGCCCGGTAAGATTAACACCCTGGGCTGGAAGGAAAGGCAGTAACATACATTTTAGGATTCTGAGCCCTGTAATGTCCACATATGGTCAGGATTTTTGCTTCCTGTCTTGCCTATAAGAAAGGAAACGGGCATTATGGTAGCAAGTCTGGTTTTGGAGGTGGTGGGTGTTAGACTGCACAGCACTTACTGATTTGCGAACGTCAGCAAGAAATAAGATTTTCTTTCCTCCCTCCCTAACTCTTTTTTCCTGACTGTTTTTGAAACCATTGACAGTTATAGAATTTCTCCTCAACTGCATCTAAACATAAAATGCTTCAGAGGCTTTATTCTGAATAAAAAGTCTCTCCTCTCAATTCCTTTTTAGTTAGACTCTGAAAAATCCCCTACTTTCTCAATGAGACTCTGTTCACCTCCCTGTCCAGTGCCTTGCAAGAGCAGACAACCAGGCTCCCTCTACTGGTTCACTTTCACAAAGCCGTGTGGGTGGAAAAGAGCAAATATTAATTACTAGCATAAAAACATGGAACAAAACATCATCCACCATGGAGATCCTAAGACATACATGTATATCTGGCTGGAAAAAAAACATATCCCATATGCAGATGTGCATGTGTGAGCATGTATTCAAATGTGGGCATTGGCTTGTTTGAATAGGTAAGGAAATGGCAAAATAATGCAGAGTACATTGGAGTCAGGTAAAATGCAGGCTTACCTATAGGGGAAACATGGGCTGGGAAAGGAGTTGATCTTTAAAGGAGAGGAAGGCTGGCCTCAGAGCTGAGGCACTGGAGTGGAGATCAGTTTTGTGCTGTGCTATAGACTTCCTGTGTGTCCTTCCACAGGTCGCTTCACCCCTCTGCCTCTACTGCTCCTCTTTTGAAATGGAGATGCTTTCACTTCCTCTGTCTCCTGCCTGTATAGGCAGGAAGCTGTCCAGGGCAAGGATGGCTTCTTATGTATGTGCAGCATCTGGTACCGAGGGCCTGGATCCATGTTGTAACCTTTACCTCCTATAGAATGTATAAGCAAAGTGGAAAAGGGGCAAGTGAGCTGTTCTTGTCAAGCAGGTGAGAATGAGGGGCAGCAGGAGAGTGCTGAGAATCTCATTGTATCCATTTGTTAGAGACTGAAAAGCTCATGGGTAGGTTGGTTTGACCTTAGTGGTCAAATGAAGGAATGCAGCTTGTTGGAAGAGTTGGAAGTCCAGGTTGTCAAAGGACATTGATGAAACTTAAGCCTTTAAATAGGTTTGAGGATCTGAGCCTTGCCTCCTAAAGGTGCTTGGACACCAAGCTGTTTGGGGCAGGGATTGTCTCTGCTACGGGTGCACCAATAGAGATTTTGGGGGCCAATACCAATAGCCGATTTTTTTTTTTAAGGAGGCATATTGGCCAATACCGATCCAATTTCCAGTACTGCTGCGTCTAGCTGGTAAGTCTGTGGTAGAAGGGGAGAGGCATCAACACCCCTTGCAGTTAGGGAGGGAGTGGGGCAGGGGCTGGGCAGGTGCTGCCCAGCTGGGGCAGGGCAGGCGCGGGACAGAGCTGCAGCTTGTCTGGCGGGGCATGAGAGGGGAACGGCTCCTGCTGCTGTGTGCACCCCGGGAGGGCATGATGAGGGGGGATGGAGCGGTGGGCATGTGCCCTCAGATATGTGTGGGGTGGGGCAGGCTGCAGCTGTGGGCGGGAACTGGGGGCTGCGCCAGGCTCTTCCTGCTGGGGGGTGGCTGGGCTGCGCTGTGCTCAGGGCGGGCGGCAGCAGTGGAAGAGAGGCTATGGGGGAGGGCTATGGCAAAATTTGGGGTGGCTGTAGTCTTTTGTGTGCGTGTGTGTGTGTGTGTGTGTGTGTGTGTGTGTCCCCTCTGTAGCCCCCCTCCCAATGCCACTGCCCCCCGCCCCAAGCTGTTCAGCTCAGCCCCCCCTCGGCTGGGAAGAGGCCGGCACAGCTGCTGGCTGCTCTGCTCTGCCCTACCCCTTGCAGATCTGGGGGGCATCCCCCCCATACTCTCCCAGGGTGCATGCAGTGGCGTTAGCTGCTCCCCCACCCCTTGCCCCCCGGACAAGCCTCTGCTCTGTCCTGCGTCCTGCCCCACTCCCTCACTGCAGGGGGTGTTGATCTGTCTGTTCCCTCCCCCCTTCCTGTCCACCAGAACAGACTTACCAGCTGTGTGCAGCTTTCCACACTGCTGGGCTGTGCTCCTTGCTGCCTGTGTGCTGCGCTGTGGCTGCATGCACACACGGGCATTTATTGGCCAAATTATTGGACACATCAGGCCAATTTTTCTGATTTAATCAATTCTTTAATCAATTTCTTTATATCAGTGCCGATCCGATATTGGACCAATGTATTGGTGCATCTCTTTGCATCTGTAACATGCTCAGCATCACAAAGCCCCCAGTACAAAAGAGCTCTCACTGTCTAAGGGGATGTCTATGCTAGACTTAGTGTCTTACTGGTGTAGTAGCACTGAGGGGGCAAAAGCAAACTATCCACTAGCATTTTGACTGCCATATTATCTAACCTGGCTTGGTGCACCCAGAAAAAAACAATGCATAATGTACCAGCAGATCTCTGAATGCCATCTGTTCCACTGCTGGCCCCACTCTGTCACCACCAGTGAAGCAGGACTAAGGTCATAGTGCTGGAAAACTCTTTAAGAGGAAAGGACGGTAGAAATTATCTAGAATGGATCTGGCCTTATTGGCTAAGTAAATTGTATTGCGCTGCTACCCTTTCTAGTGTTGTTTTCCAAGGTATTATCTTCCTCTGGACCTGAGGCTACTCATTAAGTGATCTGGTCAACAGAGGGAGAGGGTTTTATTGCACACAGATTACCATAATGGATTGTTTTGCAGCTCAACGTTGATATTCTACTTGTGCAATGAGTGCCAAGAAGTCGCAGTGTCTCATTGCAAAGGGTGGGGAGAGGAATGTAAAGAGAGAACAACCGCTGTTTATTTTCTCTGAATAAGAACAGCAAAGGAAAAGGCTGGCTTTGGATTTAAAGATGGCCTGTGAAGAATTCCCAAGCAATTACACTTTTGCTTATCAGTACAGAATTTGTGTTAAATTTGTAATTTTTTTTCTGCTTGTCTTTTATGCCTTGGAAGTATCAGAAATACCAAATTTACTGTCTTGAGGCTGGAGGAAATCTAGAGGGTGTGGAGCCAGGTGCATCATGAACTCTCACACTTTTCTCACCCTGTCAAATAATAATGGTTCTTTAGCAAAGGCTTCCTTCCTCCAATATATGTCAGTGGAATTAAATGTGTTGGTACATTGAAGACCAACACGTTCAAAATGTAGGCCCAAAGTTAGGGTACAGGGCTCTATATAAAGGCACTTATTTAAGTGACCTGATCTTCAAAAGTATTGAGTATCCAACAGCTCCCTTTATTGGAATTAGCATGGGACTCAGAAACTCCAACCAGTAACTAAGATCCCACCATGCCAGGTGCTGTTCATGCACAGAGCTGAAAGACAATCCCATGTATCTTGTTGAGAATATAAATAGTGTGTGCCAGGGCTGTCAACCCGCCATCTTTCAAATGCCTTATCTATTCTTTCAAAGATGTACAGCATTCCTGTTTCCTCTGACCAATATCACACCTCCTCTCCCCCTCACCTCTTATTTTCCTTCTGACTCCCTGCAGAACTCTGTAACCCGAAGTGCTCCTGTGAACAGTGACAGCCAAGGGCGCTGTGGGGCCCGGTTCCTCACCACCTATGACAGGAGGTTTGTCATCAAGGCAGTGTCAAGTGAAGATGTAGCTGAGATGCACAACATCTTGAAGAAGTACCATCAGGTACGGTGAGTCTAGAAGCCTGTGGGATGGGAGGTGGATAGTGTCTTGGAATATCTAATGCATAGCAGGGGAGCACTCGGATTGAAAGAAAGATACCGTTTCGGCCCTAGCTATGTCTTACCAACAGTACAGCACAGGCGAGCTTGTTTAGGTGAAGGTTGCTGGTTGTCAGTGGCCCTATAGTCTCCTTTTACCCCTTTCAGAGCCCTATGGGATCTTGAACTTGCCAGAGGCCAGATCTCTGCTTAACAGCTCACTTCCTAATAATGTCAGCACCTTTGATCTGCCTCCACCAAAGTATCAACTTGCCAGTGCCTGAAAGCTGTAGAGATCCAGACTGTATTGAGACATGTGGGATCATCCCGCCCAGCAGGATAGGATGGGGGAAAGGCTATTCTGTTAGTGGGTGGAGTGAAGGGTAATGTGTGATAAGTCAGTTGGCTTATCTGGAAATGCTCTACTCCCCTCTTGCAGGATCAGTTAGCCATCCTGCTGTGCCACCTTGTTTTATTGTGTGTCCTCTTCCTTTCCTTGAGTGGAGGTCTTGGGTTGTTATTAACAGCCCCAGGCTGAGTGGAACTAGAAATTTAGCTTGTCACATGGCTGCCTTGAGCAGGAGGTTGGATTAGGTGACTTGCTGAGGTCCTTGCCAGCCCTACTTTGCTATGATTTTATGGTGTAACACTCCAGGAGATCCATAGTGTGATATCTTCTTTTTTTTCCACCCTGTGCCCCTTCAGTTCATAGTGGAATGCCATGGGAACACACTTCTTCCCCAGTTTCTTGGCATGTACCGTCTTACCGTGGATGGCGTGGAAACCTATATGGTTGTCACAAGGAATGTATTTAGTCACAGGCTGACCGTGCATCGGAAGTATGACCTGAAGGTAAGGGTTGGGCAGGGCCAAGTCCATTCCAGGTTAGTAAGCCATGGATTTTAAGGCTTCCTGTCTTTTTTTTTTCCCCATAAAAATGTACCTGGGTGCTACTTCTGGGGTATCTTAAATTGTGTTTTCTAAGTTCTTTTTTCGTGGAGGACTTTGTCAAACTTTGGAGAGCCTAATTGGGGTTATCACTTGAGGTTGAAAGATTTGACTGGCATTTGTGCCAGCCCTTCCCTGAAGCAGAAGGACTTACTGAGTACAAGCAAGTCCCATCACAGCAGGTCCAGGGTCATCTTACCCCTCTGAAACTCAGTAAATCCCCTTGGTGTAAAGAAGGTGATTGAGACCTCAAATTGATAACACTGAAGCTGGCTTTACATGACAGAAGAATTGTAAAGAGGACACACAAGCAGTTTGTGCTTTGTGACTCTCCTTCAGGGGGAGAGGTGGTTGAGCATGGAGGGTAGAAAGTTCCAGGTCCTGGCTTTGAAGTCTCATAGAGTTTGTAGCCAAGATAAGCACCCAGGTAATCCTGGATATTCAAAAATATTCAGCACTAAAGCAAAATATTTCCTTCTCTTTGTTAGCTCAGTTTTATCGTGAGTCCCTATCCCAAATGAACCTCGCTAAATAGAGCTCCACCTTTTCTTCAGTGAGCACATGAGCTGTATCTCATCAAGTAAAGCTTAGAAGGTTTTCTGCAGGCTAATGCAGAGAGAAGCCATGAACTCAGGTGTCACAGAGGTAGAATTGAAAATGTAGACACCCACGTCTGGCTCAGATACCGAGAGAAACACCAGCAAACTGTGGCTTGTAACTATCTCAGTTTTGCACATCCAGAGAGCTTGATGTGTCCCCAAGGGAAAGGTATCCGCTACCAGTCTCTTCTCCCCCCATGAGTGTGATTTAATATGCAAATGGCTCTCTCAGGCTGTATCCTCACCATTGAAGTCAATGGGGAAGTTTTGTCATTGATTTTAGTAGGGTCAGGATTTTCACCCCCTTGGCCCCCAATATTCAGGCCAGGGGCAATAAAAGAAGAAGGTTCATGTAGGGTTTGTTATACAAGCCAGTGAGACATCTTGTCTAGCATCCTACCACCCATTATAGCTAGGAGCAGGCACTTATAAAGGAAGGTGGCAGTCTCTTCTCTTGATCAAGTGTGGGGTATTTTTTTGTAAATCAAGGTTTCAAACTGCAGTGCTTAAATCCTTGGGTACAGTATTAGAGAGACTGTGTATAACGAACGGGGTGGGGGACACGGGACGGGACTAGACTGAGTTCTTCAGCCAGCCCTGACTGTCTTGTTTACAGTGGCTTCTTAAAATACATATTTTTGTGTGAAGGGACCTGTTAATCGGAAGCAAAAAAGCATTTAAAAATAAACTTGTAAGATACGGTGCCAATACTTTTAGTGATGATTAATTGGATGTCTGATGCAGGTGAATGTAATGTAACATAATGCGATGTCTTCCTCTTCTTACCAGGGCTCAACAGTGTCCAGGGAAGCAAGTGATAAAGAAAAGGTAAGGATGATCCTACTATCATGCCTATTCGAGAACTGCCTCTCATTCCTGACATTGGTTAGAAGTGGGTAGGTCCAGCTGCTTGTTTCTCTGAACTAAAAGGGCACTGAACAGTGAAGAAAAATGGGGACAAGTTAAACAACCAGCTGAACAGAAGATTCACTAAATCATGGTCTGAGCAGCTCTTAAGAGCATGTCAAGCATAACATAGTAATCATGCAAGAGAGTGCCTGCAGGCTGGCAGTGGTATGGCTCTGGAGAGGTTTGTGAAGGCAAGGTGGCACATCAGAAGTTAGGCACTCACTCTACCAGGATAGGTGCTTTTGCAAATCTCACTAAGCAAATAGCAGCATCGTTCTGCACCTGAATACCTTTGGGAATCTGGCCTGAGGTCTCTGCATTAAAGAGCTTCTCACTTACAACATTGATTCTGCAAGCACTGCCATATTGAATGCCACCGTGAAAGGTCTTACTGAAATTGCAGCACCTGGTCTGGGAGAATACTTACACAGGGAAGAACCAGAGGGTTATAGTGTGTTCTTGTTACAAATCCCGCCCCCAAACAAACAAACAAAACCCCCCAAAAAACCTAATGGCGTACTGGGTTGTGTTAACAGGATTGTCATTTCCAAATCAAGGAAAGTGATTCTTCTGCTTTATTCTGTACCACGAGACCTCACTTGGAGTACTGTGTTCAGTTTTGGGCCCCACACTGCAAGAAGGATGGGGACAGTTTAGAAAGAGTTCAGTGCAGAGCCACAAAAATGATTAGGGACCTCTAGGAGGCAGGACTTATGAGGAGAGGCTGAGGGAATTGGGGTTATTTCATCTGGAGAAGAGAAGACAGCATCTTCAAATACCTGAGGGGTGATTACAAAGAAGATGGAGGTGGACTTTTCTCTGTGACCAAAGGGACAGGACTAGGAGTGGCGGCCTCAAGCTTTGGCAGGGAAAGTTTAGGTTGGAGATTAGGACGAATTTTCTGCCTATGAGGGTGTTCAAGCATTAGAACAGACTACCTAGAGAAGTTGTGGAATCACCATCCTTGGAAGTTTTCAAGAGCAGGTTGGACAGACACTTGGCTGAGATGTATTAGTCAGGAATGATTCTTCCTTGAGCAGGGGCTGGACTAGATGACCTTGTGAAGTCCCTTCCAGCCCTACTTTCCTATGATCCTGTAAAGGTTTGCAGGAAGGGATGGGATGCAACAAATAGCAGAACAGCTTAGCATAGTTGAGCAGTCAGTCAGGGTCATGAGTTGTTGCAAAAATTAAAGAAGAGTTTTTTGTTTGCCTAGGAAGGTGTTCTAAACTCAAGAAGATTGAGCTGGGAATGATAAATTGGCTGATCTCAGTGTCTCTGCCTGGCTGATTCTCTCACCTCTTTATACAGAGGACTCCCAAAAATGAGTCATCTCACAAGTTGGGAATTCCTACTTCACATTTCAAAGCTCCAGTCCCTTGTCATAATCTGTTGCCACCTTACTGTAGTTCAGTTGTGTGATTTTATGAGTTTACTGATTTTTGTCTGAAGTTCTGAGTTTATTTTCAAATAACCAGGCAAGAGGAAAAAAAACACTTTATATCAGACCCTTGATATAGTATTTTTATAAAAGGGTTGAGGATTGCCGCATCATTCTAAGAATAAACAAATATAATCCCAAATTGTACAGAGGGGTTGTGGAACTGCTCATGGAAGCATACTTTCGCAGAAAAGGGCCAGGGGGTTACAATAGACCAGGGGCAGGCAATTATTTTGGGTGGAGGGATGCTTACCGAGTTTCGGCATGCTGTCAAGGGCTGCATGGGTAGCCTGGCCCCTTGACAGGCGCTGTACCCCCTGGTCGACATCTTGTGCCCAGAAGTCCCACCCCCTAGCCTCTGACCTTTGCCACCAGAAGTCCCTCCCCTTGCTCCCGGAAGGACTCCTTTCAGCAAGGGGTTTTGCCATCTCAGAACCAGAAAAATACCAAATTATATTCTAAAAAGTGATCATCTACAACATTCATTAATTTGATTTCAAAAAAAAGATTTTTGTCCTCATTTGCATGTGTTTGTGTAGTGTATGCAGAAGTGACTGCACAATAGCTTAAAATGAAGTCTTATTCTTGTATATTGTGGGGGCTGTGGGTGTGTGGGTAGGTGGGGTGTGGGTGGGTATGGGGGGAGGGTGGCTGGGGTTTGTGTATGGCGGTGCGAGGGGAGATGTAGGTGTATGTGTATGGAGGGGTGTGCATGTGAGACTCGCCCTATAGACTCGCTCTATGAACACACACATTCTCTGCCCTTGTGCCTACACACATACACACCCACCCACCCCCCCTACCAGCACGGTCCCATAGTCCATGGTCCTGGGATGCAGCCAGGAGCCGCAGCCAGGTGGTGCTGGAGCAAGGCTGGGGCAGGAAAGCAGGGACCTGGCTGGGGGTGGGCAGGGCTGGGCTGTAAGCCTGCTGAGGGCTCGCTCTGGGTCCTACTGCCCCTGACTCCAGCCAGCTTTCACAGAGAGCAAATAACTGTTAATTTACTACATTTTTTAGGGGCTCTGTGGGCCGGATAGAATGGCCTGGCGGGCCGGATCTGGCCCACGGGCCATATTTTGTCCGCCCCTGCAATAGACCATAAGCTGAATATGAGCCAACGGTGTGCTCGTAGTTATCTATGGGAAATACTTAAACCGAAAAGATGCTTGGTCCATATTCAGTCCTTCCAATGGTGTGGTTTGGTTTTCCATTTAATCATTAGGAGGAGAGAAGGCATTTCCCCAGATTCCCTAATATGAAAACAACCACATGACTTCATTTTCTGTTTTTCAGACTGGCTAGACCAACCCCTCTCTGTCTGAAATGCAGTTAATTCAGCTTTCAGCCTGAAGCAGATATTCCTGGCAGCCTTTGAAATTACAAGAACATAAAAGCCCTGCTGGGTCAGACCAAACATTTTTCTATCCCAGTGTTCTGCATCTTACAGTGGCAAAAGGAAAAAGCATTTCTGCAGGACCTAGCCAGTTGATCCATCTCCTGTCCTGCTTCCATTACAGCATATAAAAACAAATGAAGCTGCTGTCAGGATCCCCAGTGCATTCCCCTTAGATAAAGCTAAGCCAATGGATTAATTTATAAAGATAGTGCTTTACCTGCTGCCTTTGGCAGTCATGTATTTATTTCTTCAAATCAGTATTTTGCCAAAGAATGAAATTGCCAATGACTGTGGATGATGGAGTTCAGCTTAGAATGTCTCGCGTAGTCTAACCCCGTCCCTTCTCTTGCTGTCTCGTAGGCCAAGGATTTGCCAACGTTCAAAGACAATGACTTCTTGAACGAAGGTCAGAAGCTCCATGTCGGAGAGGAGAGTAAAAAGAACTTCTTGGAAAAGCTAAAGCGGGATGTGGAGGTACAGTTGAATTAGGGCTTGGAGTGTCGCTGTGAGCAGCTTGGAACTGGTGACAGCTCTGTCGTTGTGAGCAACTTGGCAGCTTGGAGCACCCAGTTGGCCAGATGAAGCAGTGGCAACAATTAAAATTGTTTGTTTTTTGGTGCTGTTGCTACAGAGTCAATGGCGGATGGGGGGAGGCAGAAAAGGGCAGAGATCTTTTTTTCTCCCAGCCCAGAGTGCATCAGGAAGCACCTTGGTGCACACAGAGCAATAGGAACACTGCTCTGATCTAGCATGGGAGGCCTGTGGTGTGTCCAATGCATGAACCTGTCTGAGGTTGCAGGCAGATGTAACTTTCCAGCATGTTAAAAGGGAAGAAGGAATTGCCATTTGGGAGGGAGCATCATCTATTACAATAGAAGTGCTATGTATGCCCACTCCTACAGTGTAAAAGGGAACACAACTGGGATAACTCTAAATGAAAAAAGTTAGTTACAGTGTTTTTTGCTGAACTTATGTTGCCATGCTTATGCTATGGGAGCATGCAGATGTTACTGTGCAATGGTTACATCTCATACCAGTATCATTCTATGCTAGTATAAACTTGTTGCATCTGTCTGTACCCTGACAGCATCCAACAGCAGAGGGTCCTTTTGGTTTATGCACTGTTGTCTCATGGGGGTGGGGGGAAGTGAAAACTGGCTGCTTACTGGATCCATGGTGCCAATATTTCAGCAGCTTCAGCTCCTTTGAGTGTGTCATCTTAGAAAGCCCTACAGACTGATTTTTTTCTGTTATTAGTTACCTGGCCTAGATCTATCCCACTGTCCAGGTCTTACCTTGTATGATCCTCTCACAAGTTCATGGCATTTCTATCCCAAAGGGGAAACCTCCTTTTCCCTCTGGATCACCTGGAGGGAGCAAAGGACTGTGCTACATATTGCAGGTACTTTGCCCAATTCCCTGAAGAGGGAAGCAAAAGCATGTCCACCCCATGGGTACCTGAGAGGTTCAGACTGCACAACAGGGGTCTCTATGCCAGTCAGGTAGCCCAGAGCTAAATCAACAGCTTGTTCATATTGCCTTAGTTTCCTGGTCACAGCCTAGCTTGGCACAAGATGTACCAAAAATCATCTTCTCCCCAACACTGAGATGGCAGCCAGCTTGTTCTGTCACTACTGGTATCAGTCTGTGCTCAGGTCAAGTTTGTGTGCAGGAACACATACACACACGTCAAGTTCTTAGAGACAGGATTCCTGAATTCTCCTCCCAGCTCTGTATTGGCTCAGGATGTCCCCTTGGGGTGAGTCACACTTTCTTCCAGAGCCAAGAAGGTCTCAGTCCCTATTCCAGCCACAAGATCATGTGCCTTGGAGCCAGCACTGGTTATCTGCTAAAGTTTAGGTGAGTTTTCCTTGCAGATACCCCTCCCCCAACTGAAATCATTTTATCCTTATTGCTTCCCTCCTCCCAGTTTTTAGCTCAGCTAAAGATCATGGACTACAGCCTGCTGGTAGGTATTCATGATGTTGACCGGGCAGAGCAGGAAGAGATGGAAGTAGAGGATCGAGCTGAGGATGAGGAGTGTGAGAACGATGGCATTGGTGGGAACCCCATTTCTTCCTACGGGACCCCTCCGGACAGCCCAGGAAACCTCCTCAACTACCCACGGTTCTTTGGGCCTGGGGAATTTGACCCTTCTGTTGATGTGTACGCCATGAAAAGCCACGAAAGTGAGTGTCAGAGGGTCCTGGTAGGAAATGGTTATGGGCACAAAGTATATTCTTTGTTTTGGGTGGGCTAAAGGGGAGGTAGGATATCCAGAGAGTGGTCAGGAACCCTCCTTGGGTCTGCTGCTTGTGAGTCGTAAGTGTTGCACTCTGTGAAAATGAGGCTGTAAATGCGGGTGTTGGTGTGCATAGTGTTGATGTGTGGTTCCTATGTTCCACTTCCTAAAACCTCCAACCATTTCCAGCCTCCTGCTCTCCTGCCTTTTGATTACATTAAGGCAGACTCGCTCTACACTTGCTAAGAGAGGCAGCTGTAGGTGGGTGGTGTAATTTGGGGTCTATTAAAGAGGGTGTTTTTGGTTTCTCAGGTGCCCCCAAGAAGGAGGTGTATTTCATGGCCATTATAGACATTCTCACGCCATACGATGCAAAGAAGAAAGCTGCACATGCTGCCAAAACAGTAAAACACGGGGTAAGCTGCTGTCCCCTCCCTACTCCAAGTCACAAGGTGCTGAGTGTCTTCTTGCTTTGTATGTGGCACTGACTTCTTTTACTTAATGACTGTAACCAGTTTTTCAGGGACCTTGAAATACCCCTTTCCATTCCTAAAAGTTCCCATTCCAGGCACCCTTCTTCCCCCTGCAAAATGATATGATTGTTGCTGGGGCCTGTTGTATTGCTTCTGAACTTGCTTTTCCCCAGGATCTGAGTCTCTGTGGTGCTTTTGTCTTCTGAGCTCTGGCTGCTCCCTGAGTCGATCTCCCTCAGTTAAACAGCACAAATAATTCCTGCTAGGTTACAGGACCCAATCATTTAGGAATCTATTAGACAAACCTTCTTCTTCCCCTTTCCTCTGCCCTGCAAAATGACTAGCACTGGCAGGATGGCAAGTGCTTTAAGCCAGTGCTGGGGACTGAAGTCTTGTACCCCCAAGGCAGTTAAAGCATAGCCAACATGCCTTGGGGCTGATCAGCATGCACTCGCCTTTCAAGCACCATAAAAAGCGCAAATGGGCCCAGGAATTCAAGCTAACTTTCTTCTGACCCTTTATCAGCTGGGTGAGCTGTGGTGGTGCCTTGTCATCCTTCCTATATGGGAACTTAACTGACACTTCATTCTCTTACGTAGAAGCCCCACATTTAGACTTAAAATTCACTTTCTTGAGGTCTAGACCCTGAGCTGTCAGGGTGCTGGCAGCTGCTGTCACTTGCAGATTCTGGTGTGTTTTCCTCTGCTGCCTTGCTGTGCTGATGCAGTCACCTCCTCTTAACTCCCCTCTCCCTTTGGGCTAGCCTGCTTTAATGAAGAGCTGTCTGCAGCTATAATAGTGCTTTTAGAGCTTTCCCAACTATTGGACCCCTGTGCCTAAATCTGTCATTTTGTGTGTTGTAGGCTGGGGCAGAGATTTCTACAGTGAACCCAGAACAGTACTCTAAACGCTTCAATGAATTTATGTCCAATATCCTGACATAGTCATCTTCAACCTTCAGCGAGACGGAAAGAGAAGAGGGCTACTCCTAAAAACAGAGAATGCAGCCTGTGACACTAAAACAGACACTGTAGCAGCATGTGGGGGGTGTGTGCGCCTGTGCGTGTGAGACCGTGTATGATTTAAAAAGAAACGAATTTTAGGTTCATTCTTCAATAATCCACTTGACCCAAGTGGAAAAGCATTTTTTTCATTGTTACAAATGTGCCCAGACATAGACTTGAGGGCTTAAAAAAGTATCATTGCTTCAGCACTGCTATGTATAAACAAGACTTTCTCCTCTCTGATCAAGAGAAGCCAGTTGGGGTACCATCCTTGGCGCTATTTATATGAAGTCAAACATTAGCTTGAGTTAAATCCAAAGTGACACAATACCTAATTCCACAAACTGCTATTTTTTTATTGGACTGCCTTTAACAGAAAGCTGTACAAAACCCTTTTACTTCTCTCTCTCAGTAGGAATTGGAAAGAAAATAGTTCACTATGTCAAGGATGAAACTGTTACTCTGAGCTGCTGAACTTTTAACTAGGTAAAATCAGACTAGGACATTTTTAATTTAAAAAAGGAAATTTTTACCTGCACTTGATTTTTACAAGAAAAATGAGGGAAACAAACATCTGCCAAAGAAGATCACTCAAAAGGCATAAATTGTAAAACCTAAAAAGCAGTATGAAACATATATAGTCCTTAAATAATTTAATTTCTGGGGCTTTCCAGAACCATCATGCTGTGGTATGGTAACTGTGAAGATTCCACAAAAGTTAAAAAATAAAAAATATCATGCTAACTTATTGGTAGGTTTGGGACAACACTTGACTGTTTAGAATGCCCCCACCTTTCTCTGTCACAATCATGTATTTGCCCTAACTTTTAAAAATAGTTGACAGTTGTTCTGCCAATGTTAATCTAGCTAACGTTCATTCAGTTTTCCTAACTCATATGATCCTGCAATAGGTACTTAAGTTTGCTTCCTGAGAGAGGTTTTAACAAGAAAAATAGTCCATGCAATTTGCATCTGAAGAAAGCTTAAATCACTGTCAGTTCGGAGTGTTGTTAGCAGTGACTGTGTATCAGATTGAATGCATGTCTGGTTCCACTGCACAAGAGGAAACTGAACTTGAGCTGTAGACATTTTTTCTGCTTCACTCCAGGCTCATAACAGTCTGGTAGAGCAATAGTTTGATGGACATTTATGTCTGAATACTTGCTCCAGATTATTTTTTTCAACTAAGGAATTTGAACAGACTTGCGTGATTGAATTCTGTCCTGTTTTGTCTCTTGATTAATTGCTTGTAATATTTTTCACATCCACACGTGTCAAACTTACCATCAGTTTAATTAGGTCTGCTCCCGAACAGATGTCTCTCTCTTGAAAGCTTTTTTTGTTTTTAAGCAGGATTTAGCAGGGGGGGTTGTTTTTTGGGGTTTTTTTTTTTAAACAAACCTCTTGCAGTTGACACACCTTGCTTATCTGCCTTGAAACTGTTTTCACATATGCCTTTGTTTCAGGAATAAGCTGTTAGAATGTATGTGTCCTGTGCTGTAATGTGTGCTACAGTTTGCTGTGTGGATTTGATCCTTTTGAGAGAGAACTGGTGCTCATCATAATCCTGGTAATTAACTAGACTAATGTTAGCCTTGGTTGGATTCTGAATGCAGGATATCTTTAATTTTTTCCCTTTATGTTCCTGCCCTAAACAGCACAGCTTTCAGCATAGGGGAATGAAGGGGGAATAGGTCAAGACTCAGAACTCAGTTTATGAGAGTCCAATGTAAATACTGTTTAAAGAAATATGAAATGAATACAGTTGGTTGTAATGGGATATGGATCTTTTTGTCCACTTTTGGGTCATTCTCTTTGAAGGACAAATTTCTTATGCCATTGTAATCCACTGTCTCTTCTCTGTAAATTTGGGGTGCTTAACATGCCATCGTTTGAGAGCCTAGCAAGAATCTTACACATCCTAGGGTGTCTAGCTAACACAAACCAAATGCAGATGGGAGAAAAACTGTAAAAATGGGGGAGGGTGGAGAGCTGAAAATATCCTTAGTTTAGAGGGGACTGTCAGTTACTTTCCTCTAAAACAATAAGCACTTATGGCTACTGTGAAATAGGAATTAAATACCCATTACTTTTTATTCTTGACAGTTTTAAAAATTCCTGAATCTGCAACTTTGGCCTGGTAAGTTTGCCACTCTCATTTTGGGAAATTAGGTTGTACTTTGTAGTGTGCTAGATGTAGATGTGCATTTTTTTTAATGATGGCAAATAAGGAAGTGTACTGAAGACATCTTGCCATGAGATGTTTTAAACGGGCAGCCCAAGGACAGTAGGGATAAAGCTTGCCTAGCTAGGGGCAACTATAAAACAAACAAACAAAACCCAAATAACCCTTGAACTTTAAATAGGGACATAATCAAAAGACAACTAGTTCCTGCAGCAACTGTTACAAAACAGGTGACATGAAGGATTTGAGGGCTCTGTTGTTTTACATTCCCACTGCAGATGGGGAGAAGACTTCTTAGACTCCAGTCAGTGGTCTCAGTGCCTCATGGTATAAAAGCCCTGCAACTTTCTATTTACTTTAGCACTTGCCCCATTTTGCCATTTTTGTCATGTTGCCATACAGTGTGTATTAAACTAATTAAATGCAATTGTCTCATTTAAAGATGTATTACCCAGGCATGTAACTTTGTTTAACATTCGCATTTTGTATATTGTTTACATTTTGAGAGGTAGCATTATGTTAAAATGCTAATTTTGTTTCTAGACAGTATTTTTGTTACTATAAGAGGTGAAGCTGCAAATATTTGATTTGTTTCTAAAAGGGACTTTTGCTTTTTTTTAAATTTTTTGTTTTAATCTTGTTTTTGGTCACCTTTTACTTTGAAATATTTAAAAAACCCCCCCCCATTAATCTTTTTTTTTCTTTCCTTTTTTTTTATACAACTGCCTGTGATAGTCTGTCTTTTTTTTTTTCCTATGACTTTTTGTCCTAGCTTGCTTAATGTAGATGGTTTCTGTCTATAGCATGTACCCTGCAGAACACTTTACACTGAAGTGCATTGCAATTGGAAACCATGACTCAGGCTGGAAAAAGGTGTAGTAGGGTAGGCCTGCAATATAAACTGTAACAGCCAATTGTCTAGATCCCTGCAAAACTGCAGGAAAATTAAGTAAGTGGCTACATTGTTTTGTTTTTTCTGGAGAATGCTGTGCAATGTTAGGTCAATTAGGTTTAAAAGTAGTGTGGAGCCCAAACAGAAGGCAGGGGGCAGTATGTTAGAAGGGATATCTTTTAGGAAATACATTCCTGACTGCTTAGGGTGCCTGTCATTATCTTGACATAGGCCTAGTAAATATCAAGGAGAGGTAAAAACTTAAAGATTAGAAACACCTCCCCCTACATCAAAATAACTGATGTGGGTATGAGGAAGAAAAAGGATGCTGATAGTACAGACCAGAAGTTCTATCCCCTTTTGAGAGTTGTACCACTTATAAGATGGCCTGTCATACCAGCTCAATAAGAACCACTTAAGAGGATGCTAAAGACCTCTTCCCCCTTCCTTCTGCACTTTTCCCTCTCCCCAATATATAGTAACCACTTGCTCTGTATACACCATAATTTAATCATCATTACCAGCCAGCCTCCAGGTGGTTTTTGTGCATAGGTTGTCTTTGGTGTTGCAGGATGCATGCAAGAGTGGCAGTAGGGAGGTTATGGAATTCACTTTTCAAGCTAGGTGCAGTTTTTTTAATGGATCCATTTCTTCCCTCCTCCCCTGAGGTCAACCTTTTCTACCTGTCACTTAATCCAGTGCCTCTGACTATGGTTTTGATTGAAATGGCTTTTAATTGTAAACCTCCCCCGCACAAAGCATTTTCTGGGCTCCTGATAGGGAGTATGGCTATCTTTAATAAACTGGGATTGACCAATCCCAGAGAGGTCAAAACCGCCTTGGAATTTTCAGCTACAATAGTAGATGGAGCCAAGGACATCACTATGAAAATATTCAAGAACTTGCCCTTTGTTTAAAGGAGAGCGGGGTTGCATGCAACTGTATGAAAAACAATCCCTTTGGATACCGATTTTACAGCATAACTAAGGGCCTGCTCTTCCACTTCCAGGAAATCTAACTTCAGCTTTCATTTTTACTGACAGTAAAAATACTAAGTGTTTTGGTACGGGCATGTCCAGTTTGCCTATCTGGCAGAAGAACTAGTGCTTTGCCTTCCAGGTGGCTATTGCAGCTGCCTTCAACTTGGGACCAGTGTTTTAACCACAGAAACTAGAGGCATATCATGGGATTAAATTGTATTGTGACCTAATTGTGGAGAAAGTGGTGGATTGTCTTCTGGCTTCAACAGATTAATAGTCCTGTATTTACTATGGTCTCTACAGATGCCCCACTTACAGCTGCAGAGAGGTTGGAGTGTTAACCTTTGTATGGTATAAACACAAAATGTTTCAGGGGTCAGTGTGTGTGCTGAAACTTTTGTTTGCAACATTATGTAACTAATAATTCCAAACCCACTGTAATTGTAACAGTTGTTTGAGAACAAAGTTGCAGTCCCCTCCCCTCCTGCTTTTTAATGCACCATTTCAAACTTGCCTGGCAGTTGCTGTCATTTTGAAGAACCTGTTGTCCAGTGTCCACCATACTAGCCACTACTGATTTTTCCTTGCCTTGTGAATTCTTGTGTAATAGCAACATTAATGCTAGGGGAAACAGACTTTGGTCATCCATCATTTTTAGTGGTTTACATTTTTAACCACTTGGCACGTATGCTGTTCTTTGTTTAGATGCGTGATAAATGCAGTTTGATTGGGCTATGTCAAATTGGACGGTTATACCTACAGGTCACAGAGATGGGCAAGACTGATCAGTGCAACTGAAAACAAATGTGAATAAATTTAATTTAATCTAAAACTAAAATGATGAGGCATTCTAGATTTTCACTGCTGTTTCAGTTCTTTTGGGGGGAGGGGCTGTTTGTTTTTTTTAAAATAGGAATTAAGTCCTCTGTGCTTGTCTGTTTGCTAGGAGCAGTTTGAGACACTGTTACTGTTTTGAAATGCATGCATGTTACAAGATGAATCTCCGACCAAGAAAAAAAATAAAAATGAAAACTTTGTGTACATCTGTTCCTCATTGTCTTATTTCAAGTGAGCTCTGATCGCCCTTAGCAAGTCACAGCCCAACTGTATAAAATTCCCTTTTATCTTCTCTTACTATTCTTGGAATTGTATTACCCACAACTGGAAAAATAAGTAATGTTGCTGTTGCTCTGAATAGGTTATAAGTATTTGTTGTGAAGTACCTCCATTTACATGGGCTAATTAGAACACTAGGGTTTGGTTTGGTTTTTCCAATCTGGACCACATATGTTGGACAAGCCACCTGGAACTAGAACTACCAGAACTACCATAAACAGCTCAAGCCCTAGCACTACGCCTAACTTACCCAGTATCAAAAGGAGATGCTATGAGTTCTCCAGCATGTATTTGATAAACATCCTTCTTCACTTTTCTCTTTGCAACACCCAATGCCATCTGTTTTATAATTACTTTGAAATGATTAAAAAAAATAAGCAAATGTACTCTTTAAAGCTATGAGTGAGAGGAGTACTTAAATGCTGATACATACATTCAAGAAAAGCAGAGCCATCTCCAACAGTGAAGAAACTTTATTTAAAAAAATCCAAACAGATTTGACATGTGAAATAAGAACAAACCCCATCTTAAGTTAGTCCATGCGAGCCTTCAGTGTTCTTGTAGTGATCTTATCTTTTTCACTGCAGAGAGAGAGAAAAGACTGACTCTAAATGACCGTTCTAGTGAAGTTGCCAACAATCAGTATAAATATTATATTTACCCAAATCCAAGACGAACCTGAATTTAAAATGAACCCCCCCCCCAATAATTAAAATTTCCATATGTAGAATCTATAAACTTGTTATAATTTTCCATATGTAGACTAATTATTGGAGGGTCATCTTAAATTCATCCCCACCACTACTACTGCATTAGGGAAAGCAGTGGTAGGAGAGCAGGAGGTAGGGAAGGGAGCCCCACAAGTAGCTTGCCCCTTACTGCCTGCTCCTCTGCAGCCTCAGGCTCTTCTCGCTTCCCACGTCTGCAGCTTCCAATTCCACCTGTCTCCCCTTCCACCTCTTACCCTTGCTCTGCTGAGAGTGAGAGCAGCCTGTGGCATGGAGCACAGCCCCAGCCCAGCCCTGTAGCAGCAGCATAGAGGCAGCACCACTGCTACAGGGCCAGGCTTTGTGCCCCAGGCTGCAGCAGCCATGAAGCAAGGATAAAGCACAGGAAGAAGATAGGTGTAGGGGCAGGGGCCTGAGGCTGCAGGAGGGTGAGGGAGAGGCAGCAAGCGCCACAGCACCTGCCTGCCTCCCCCACCATTAATTCTTTATTCCAAGACGAGGGGCTATTTTCCCCCACTCATGTTAAAATGGGGGGGGGCCCACAGGACACGACAGCAACACTTCATCTTGGAATCAAGTAAATAGCAGCTGCAGCTTTATATTTAGGCCTAATCTGACAGCTATGCCAAAAAATCCAAACAAGCCTCAAATACTTTGCTTCTTCCTCCTCTTCAACCTGCTGACAAAATGAGGACAAGCCACCTCTCTTACTACAGCCTGACCAGAGGTTGGTCATTCGGAACAACTCACTAAAGAAAACTGTTGGATCTTGCTCCTGGCACAATGGATGGGGATACTGCTCAGAAATCAACAATGAGACAAGTGAAAGACTGGCTGATCCAAATAGTCTTCTAAATAAAACTAGAAAGTTGCTCTTGATGGGCAGTAACAGCATATGATTTCTGTCTTAAGCAGAAAGCCATGGGTGGATCTAGAATTTTGAAAATGGGGTGTCGATGGCACAGTGCATCATCATTATATACATCACAGCGCACATGTTTCTCCAGGTAAAAAGGAACTAAAAGCTTTTTAATATGCTAGGGGCCTACAGTTGTATGTTCATTTGACAATCAAAGCAAAAACAAATAGAACTTTATTGGAATGTGCAATTAGCTTGCATCATATAATATATTATGTATGAAAAACAACACACTAGGCAAAAAATAACCAAAAAGGTTGTATCTTTAGTCCTGTTGTCATTAGAATTAAATGTACATCTCTTTCAGATTCATAAAACACAATCTAGCTTTCTTGAGCACCTTGATAATGCATCACTGAAAGTTATTTCCACACCTGCACTGCTGTTCACTTGAGTTAATGTTTTTAACTAGAGTTAAAAACAGACTGCAGGACTGTGAAACAAGTGCCATGTTAAAAGGAGCAGATAAGACAGTAGAGTTGCTGAAGAAAGAATAGCTGGATTAGTGGATCATCATCAAAACCATTAACAAAAGGAGAGAAAGTCATTAACACCTGTGGATTGAGGAGTTTGTAATTTACTTGATTCCTTCTAATGAGCCATGAAGTCTATAGGACTTCTTTGCTGCTGTCTGACTAGAAACTGCCAGGCAGTTGGTTTTAAAGTTTAGGTGGAGCTGGAATCAAAGTGGGGGGAAGGGGGGCAGGAATGAGAAAAAAAAAAACTTCCTTCTCTTTACACAATACTGCATTCATAGGGTGAATGCCTTAAAAAAAAATCCATCTAACAATGGCTATGCTGAATTTAATTTACTATCAGTAGTGCAGGACCAGCAAAAAAAAGGAACAGGAAGGAAATTAAGAAAAGTCTAGCATAGGCAAGATCTGGCTAAAGAATAAGATTGAGAGCCCAGAGCAGTTAGGCCTTATGACAAATCCTTGAAAGACTTCTTAGAGCTTGGTGTTTAATTCCAGGGGAAGAGACCACTGGAACAGTACTTACATTATATGCACTACCACACCCATTCCAGACACAGCATCTCTGTCTACTGCATTCAACATAGCCTGGGAGATGGTTTCAAAGAGATGATCTGGTTCCTGGAGGAAGAGGTACAGGAAAGCCTTTTAGCAGGATGTCACAGGATTAACACCAAGATTTTTTGGATGAGGCCAAAGTCCAACCCCTAGAAGTTGTAGGCCACTTTGCTGTAATTATCCTTCTAGTCAGAAGGAGGGATTAACCCAAACCAGTATTTAGCAAATTTTCACCAAAAATTGAAGGCTTAAAGCTCTGTCCAACACTAATCATTCAAATTTCTTAGTCTTCACATTAACAAGCGGTTTAGTCCATGAACTGATTGGTTGTTTAGCCCTTAGGCAAGCCTTGCCAAACTATCCCCACCTCTCTCCACTCACCATATCAGGTTCCCAGAGGGACTCGCACATGCCATACATCTGCTCTGAGCAGGTGCCACTGACCACAAAGTCATCAGTTATCATGGGACAGCCAATCAGGTCTAGAGAGCAGATGAAAGGTTCATAAGTTATGGGGTCCAGTCCAGCAATGACTGGCTCTGTGTAATAAGGCCCAAACCTGTGAAGAGCAAGTTAGAACAGTTTCAGTACTTCAGTCCTTAAAAGCAACAGCAGATTTCTAACTAACTATTTAAGTGAAATCTGTATTTCCTCTCTGGAGCTAGTGGGGGGCTTTCCAGATAGTCTGAAATGCTTTGCTACTGTTTACATACTTCCCTAAGTGAAGAAAAATCAGCTGTACCCCTCCAGTGAAGTAGTTTAATACAGACAAGCTAAAATAAGTGTACTCCGTCACCAGATTCTACTATTTAGACAAATCGTTACTTTTATAAAAATAAATGCTTTTGAGCTGTCAAATATAATAAAGGGTCACTGAATTTTAAGAACTGCTGCCCTTGCATCTAGAACCTATAGAAACCTCCAAACAGTTGCCCTTCAGATCCCACTGACCCCCTCCAAATATTTTTTGGCAAAAGAAATGGACATCTGGTACTGAACATTTTGTGTCTTAAGACTTTAGAGGTGGACTGATCTGGAATGAAGAACTCAAGCTCTCATGAGGACTTTAATTAAACTTGGTACTCAAATTGTCCAAAGCTAACCCAGCTTTTAAATCTGCTTGTGTTCTACAGAAAAACAAGCAGCATTATTGCTTTGCTTTATGACAGACACCACCTGTTCAGTAACTGTTACTTAATGTGCAGTGGACTTAGTTTCAATTAGAATATCGATACAGTGAAGGTTTCCTTAAGCATTGGACTGAAAATGAACACACTGCCAAGCATTGAAAATTTCAATTTCAAACTCCCATGTCAGCACCAACTATGCTTTCAGCTCTTGCCAGCTTCAAACTTGCACGCGTGCTTCAGTGACCACCTAGCTCAAGTCCTGTGCAGAATAGCAATAGAACAGTTAGGTCTCTGTTAAGAAAGTTCACTCACTGAAAAGTAGTGCAGCTGCATATAGCTTAATACATATGCAGACAGGCTTTATCCATTACTTGTTTCTGCCTATGCTTGCAAATAAACAGTCTTCATCATTCATTTAGCTAAACGTCCGTGAGTCCTGTTGACTATAGTAAAAAAGTTAGTCCTCAGTGAAGGGCTTGCTTTCCTCTTCACTTCTCTAAATTTTCATTGAACTCCGTTAGCCATCTCCTGGTTCCACTGATACTGTAACTGAACTATTCAACTGTTTGCTGTTTACCGTCTCTCGTAGAGCAGATTGGACACCATGCTCATGAAAGTCTGTGGTTTGATCTGCCTGCCTTCCTTCAGTTCATAGAGATTCAGCCTGAACTTCAGCCTCTGGGCACTGCAAGAAGAGATGAGAGTTCATGTTAAATTGCACCTATTCAAGACATCTTCCACCCACCCAAGGGTTAAGCTTTGCTACTAAAAACTAACATCTGACGGACACATGAAGCAGACCAGTGGATTTAGAATGCACGCACATTTACATTTCAGACTGTTACATCTGGGTCTCACTTGTCCTGTGATCCTTAAGAAATCAGATACAGCTTTATTTTTTAGAATACGACTGATTTTCTTTATTAAAAAAACCAAAAAGACCCAGGATACAATATGCCACAAAAATGCAGCTTTTTTTGTTGCTGTGGAGAGCAAATGTGCTTTGAAGCACATTTGGTGGCTATCCCCAAGAGGCCTGATAGGAGTTGGACACAGAGAAAGGGAATATTGGTATTTACCTGAACCCCCAACTAACAAACACAGATAGCTTTAA